ATTGGTTTAATGAGGGGTAACTGAACCGAAGGGTGGTTCTCGCCGTCTGTTTGTGACACTAGCCTACAAGGGGTGGTCTGGGTCTCCATGACTAGGGGAAATACCCCCTCCTCTGCAAATCTACATTCATGGGGGGAAGGGAGGGTAGGGGGAGGGAGCCCAAACACCCTTATTCAGCCGTTCATGTTCGTCAGGACAGAGATCCTGTCAGTGATACCAAGGAACTTGCAGTTGATATACGAAACCCCAACCATGACTGCTACACAAAGCGGCAACAGAAATCCCAATTTCCGCAACCAGGTGGGGATGTCGTTGTCAGAGGGTACCCGTGAAAGGTTGGTTCAACTGGAAATACTACAGGGAAACCCTCCCAGTTGGGGGTTCCCCCAGTGTCAAGCAAACCCAGCCGCTCAAAGACAAGCAAGCTTGACTCAAATCGGACCACAGGAAAACCATGGTCTCAGAAGGTCGAATCGCTTTGGACAAGATGGGTGAGCCAACAAACTCTTTAGAGTGACATCAAAGAGAACCCATGCCTTTGCCCTTTAGAAGAAACCATCGTCGTGTGAATGTTTCCGGGAAAGTGCCAAAGAGTGCCAACAGAGTGCAGAAAATGGCGGAAACCATAATTGAGGCATTTAAAGGCATTTAACATGTTCAGGTGGACGGAGCACTTGTGCCCCATTCATTAAGTCGAGTCGTGTCATGCCCCAAAACCCAAAACCCTGGGATTCATCGCCAAGCCCCGTAGGGAATCACTTTGGGCACTTCAAAAGGGACATGCTTGGACTCCATGAAAAAGAAAAAAAATCCCATGCGGTCGAATATCGCAAGAGGGCAAACATGGCGTCTCTCCACAAACTGGGGCACAGCTGGGCCGCCCCACGCTCTGACAGCTTCTGGATCGTCTGCGACTGCGTCACGGAGTTGAAATCGCCAACCAGGATCACCTCAGCTTCCCTCTAATAGTGGCTTGAACTACGTGGTTTGGTGTTCCGCGGTGATTTCCCATTTGCCCTCTACAAGAACTCGAGGTTTAAATTTGCAAACCAGCTCAAAACCGCAAAATCAGGAGTACCTGAAGTCAGTTTGGCCAGGCATGCAGTCTATCCTCAGATTTCCCCCCCCACAAAACAAGTTTGATTCTGGGTCATTCTGTGGATGGACGCAATCCATTTCGCACCACCTAAGAACCCGTAGCTGTAATGATTCGATTCTTAATCCAACTAACAATGGCTTCAACCTTGGCTTCAAAGTGGTGCGAACGGATTTCGTCCATCCACTGTATTTAGTGAACCTCCCCAGAGGCTCCCGATGCATTTAGGGCCCTCAAACAGCCAGGTTTTGAGACCCCCCCCACACCTCCGGGGTAGTCTAATGGAGGGGTCGGGTCATGTAAAAGCCAATTGACAGATATCGCCGGCTGACTTTCTCTCTGGAATGCCGGCTTTTGGGCGAGGCCCCCGGCGTCATCCTGTGGGTCGGCATTCTCGCCGATCACGCGCATGATATTATAAGCAGTTGCCTTGCGAGCGAAGACGAGAGCCTCACCTTTGGGCGTGTCTCCTCTTTTGAGTTGATAGTTTTTTTCTTTTTTGTGTGTTTTTGATGTGATTTTTTCCGGGAAACCAAGAAAGCGACAGTCAGAGCAAAACGTACGGATGGTTGCGAAGGGTATGGGTATGGGGGGACCCGTGAAAAAAGGTGTACATGCTGCTGTGCAAGCTTATATTGGTCACAGTATCCCTGTGATGGTTGCGAATCCAATTCGATTTCACAACCGTTCAGAAACCCAACGGAATGATTCGACTCCCCCAACGTAAATACCAACAAACGTTATGGTTTCAAACACGGTTCATTTCGTGGTGCGAACAAAATTTCTCCATCCACAGAATTGCTGCAAACCTGGCTGTGCCAACATCGATGATTGGAAGGCACGTGCTTCGACGATTTCACTGACATTTCTTCGACTTGAGGAACTGGTGCTCAGCTCTGTCCTGATCTTGCAAAAGCCCTAGCCCGAAAATGCTGCCTACCATCTGGAGGTTAAATAGGTTCTGTCAAATGCAGAACATAACCCAGCCGCTGTAATTTGCTTCTGGGAAAATGAGCAACCATGGACTTTTAGAAACCTACTATACTTAATGAACTCCATGGTGGAGATCAACAAACCCCAGCCCAGCTTCCTTTTCAGCATGTGACCCCCCCAAACCCCCAAATCCCGACACCAGCAACCCCCGAAAAAGCTTCCAACAATTCGCCTCGCACCCGCACTTGCCACCGCTGCTCAGCGGGAGCGGGCCGTGGAAGTTCAAGAAGATCACGCTGTGCCCTACCACCCGGCCGTTTTGTGCGGAAACCGTTTTTGGGGTGGTGAAGCCATACAGGATGTTTTTTTGGCGCAATACATGGGGTGTCTGAAGGCTTTTTGGGGTGTTGGTGAAGCCACAAAGTCTCACATGCTTCTCATTTTTCTGTTTTCCACGCCAAACGCACATGGGGCTTCTGAATCTGGGCGAGGCACGTCTGCGAATCGCCGAAAGTGGGCCTGTGCCAAAAACATGTCCTGAAACGGAAAGTGCTGCCAAAGGTGCCTCAACCACCATTATCTTCAAACACCAGCCGTATTCCCTGGATGTTTGGTTGTTTTCTGAAAAGAAGGATTGGACATGATGAGAGCCATTCAAACCCGATCCCCAAATGTACGATGTTTTCCTCCCTTTGCTGAAGTCCCCTGGAAAAAAATAGAATAGTAAAGCAATATTCTTCCAGTAGTGATAGATTCGTAAGACCACCTGGGGAAAATAACAAATAATTTCTTCACCAACAGGACGTGTCCCACCTCTCCGCTTCACTGGTGGTGTCTTTGCCAACACTTCGGAGGCCTTCACTGCCACACATGTTTCTCCGTTTGCCATCGGGCTGCCTGGGGAAAATGGGAAAAAATGGGTGGAATCGGCGCCCTTCAAAACCTGGAGGTTTCTGAAGGAAAAATGAAAAAAAATGGTGGAATTCTCGAAACCCAACCGGGAAAATACACAAAAGATTCCTTTCAGCATATGGCCTCTAGAGCATCCAGAACCCATCATGCTAAGGAACAGGGGTCCGTACTTCTCAATACTGGGGTTCAAGTCAACTGGTTGGTGGTTTGCATGGAAAATCTACCCTCCTGTCCGCCAACATGGAACCCACCAGAAGGTCCCTTCTAATGGAAAATGGTCTTCCAGGACCTCTCAGGCAGGTTCCATGTTAGTGGACAGGAGGGTAGCACTTTGACTTTGATACTGGTGGAATGGGGTCAGAGGTATGGAGGTTTCTTGGAAGGTCTTCAGCTTATCTGCTCTGCTTTCTAGCCCCAGGTGCGAATCCGGTACCCTTCTCCCGAAGAGGCCTCGCTCCCTGTGTGCAAGACGTACCCACCTCGGTGTCACGGCCAGGGACGGCTGACACTTGAGTTGCCCCCCCCCCCCCTCCCAAAAGAAACAGGCATGTCTCATCCATTTGAATACAATGTGGAAAAATCAAAATGGCATTTCCCTCCAAGACTTTGTCCATCATTTGTAGAATATGATGCATGTGGACAAGACCGAACAATTGCACCTTCCCCCACGACATGAGAAACTCCGCGAGTCCCCCTCTTGTTTGTGGCTTCCCAAGAGAAGCATGGACAAAAGAGCAAGCTTTGACCAAACCTCACGTAGGGCTGTAGAACCTCGCACGTAGAATGGCTAGTCATGACGAGAACCGCAGAGAGCCAACCTTGGCAAACATGTGGGGTATGCTGATTCTGCTTTATACTTAGTCGAAAATACAACCCAGCAACCATCCCCTCTTAGTGCCTCAGTCGGGTCTTGGGTCTTGGCTGGATTCCACGGGATCCATACCTCAGCCGCGCGCTGGCATAATGACATGGACACCGATGTGTCAGTTGGTGTTGCGGGTACATAGAGAAAAACCTCTGGCCCCCCCCCCCCACCCTGCCAAGGGATCGGAAGCAACCTTTTGACTTATCGAAGGGTTCACAAGCCCTGAATATTTCTCCCTTGATACTAACTTCAAATGTATCATGACTCGCATGCACATAGAGTTTCCGGACACCACTCTTCAAGCAGCATAGAAATGGTTTTTGCGATCAGAGGCAGGCCATCCAAATGGCGAGTGGGACCCATGACGCTTTTCCTCCATAGCAACTCCGCCCCTATTGAAAGGAGCCTTCATGTCGGAGTTGCTGATCTCAAACCACCCTGTTCAGCCTGAGCTAGGACCCACTCCAGTGCATGTTTGCCCTGCCTCCAAAACATGGAGTGTGCCGCCAGGGTGCCACTGGTCTCGTCGGTCCTCGGCCACCTCGTTCTGGCCTCGGCCTCGAATCCGGGTCAAGGGGACCCCCAACCAGCCAGCCAGCCGGCCGGCCAACCACGAAGCCAGCAAGCCAAGCAAGCAAGTTTGACACACCTCCCAAAAGGAAGGCCACTGGCCTTTTATTGGGGCATTTGTTCAACAAGGCAGTCGTAAAATACTTCCGAAATATAGGAACGGCTCCCTTTGAATAGCGGAAACAGGACACTTATCACATTTCCGCAGGTTGCTATGCAACCCCATGCACCCATCGATTTTAGGAAAGGGCTCGCCCTGTTAAATTCCATGTGAATCCAGGCAGCCTCCCTCCAATGGGAGCTGACGATCGGGTGTTGGACCTTCTCGCGGGCTTCCGCCCGCTGTCCACTTCCAAGCCCTTCTTCAAACTGTTTAACCTCATTTTGGCTTCCCTGTTGAACACAGCAACCACGCCAAGAACAAGAATGCTCGCCTCCATCTGGTCCCATTGTGAGGAAGTTGGACCCGGAAATCGAACACATGTGGCGTTCTGTTGTTGTCCCTTTCAACCGAACCCCTTCAAGGGTATCGAACTCAAAACGCACACCACACACACAAACACAAAAGCACAGAGACACACAAGCACACAGACACACAATCACACAAACACACACAAACCCAAAATCGCACAACCACGCAAACACACGTTGGGTGACCAGTTGAATGGGCTCTCACAAATGGGTTCCTTTCGGATGCTACAAACATTATTGTCCCGTTCATTAGAACCCGTTCCATGTGTCCTCTTAACCCCCCCCCCCATACTGTTTCAAAACTCACATTTTGGCAAGACAGAGAAAAAAAGAAGAAAAAACAAAAAACATGGGGCTGGTCTCAAAGGGATTTAGACTTCACCAAAAGGGTAGTTTTGCTGTTGCCCCCCCCCCAAAAAAAAAAAAAACACTAGTGGGTGTCTATTTTCAGGCCCGAAAATGTTTAATGCTCGAGCAGGGTTTTGGACCCTACATATGAAGGCCTGTCGCCCCCCAAAACACCTCCAAGAATGAGATCTCTGGAAATCACAGTGGATGGACGCAATTCTGCACCACCTTGCCGCTTTGAAACTACGGTTGCAGCCATAACTTTGCTTTCATGCCGGGGTTTCCTAGGTGCAGAATTTCGCCCATCAGCCGCCAGGAGCCAGGAACGCGCATGGTCCCATGTCTCATCCCCTGCATATCTCGCACCAGCCAATGTGGCTCAAAAACCGGAAAATCCAAAACGGATGGAAGCCTGGTAATAGGAAAAAACAACTGCGTAACCCCGGTCCAAAATGGCACAAGCCCTGGTAAACTAGAAACATACACTTTAAAACCTGCGGTGTTGAACATTTGGACATGGGTCAAAAATCCCGCACCCCTGAACATGCCAATCCCCACTAAAATAGACTGAAATGGGTGGTGCACCTACCCCAAAATGGGATCGCCCTCTATTTTTTGAGCAAACATAGCAAACCAACCAAACAAAGGACACCTTTGCCAGCCAGGCGAATGCCACCCGCTCCTTCCGCCGCTCTCCGATCTCCGAAATCCGAAATTTGGCCATGGGTCAAAACCCTGTACTCCCCGTGAACATCCCAATCCCCACTAACATCGACAAAAAATGGAGGTGCACCTGCCCCAGAATGGGATCCCACAACGGTTTTGACCACAGCCATTTGGGGCGCGGCTCAGCTCCCGCCAGGCCGCCTTCCGATAGGCGATGCCCAGCCTCGAGTTTCGAGTCGAGAGACATGGGGAGATCAGAGGGGGGGGGGGTGAGTGGGGCGTGTTTTGTTTGCTTTTTCTTTTTTTGCGGATACCTGTGTTCTTGTTTTTTGCTTTTGTTTAAAGGGAAACCAGGAACACTGGTTCAGTTTGTTTTTTTGGGTGCCTGTGTGTGTTTGTTTGAGTTTTTAGGGGGACCTCAAGAAAGCATATCGGTTGTGCTTTTGTGGTTTTGAAAGGACACCCTCCAAAGCGAAAACAGAAATCCAGCGTCTTCTTATTATCATTCTTCGTTTTCTTCTTCTTCTTCCTCTTCTTCTTCTTCTTCTTCTTCTTTGTTCGTTCTGCTTCTTCTTTTCAGCTGTTTTTCTTGGGCAAGGAAAAACAAACCACGACAAGAAGCAAAATTAAAGGTTCCTGTAAGTGTCTCTCCTTTGTAGTTCCTTTCAAACCTGAAGTTTTTTGTGTTTGGATCCCATTTGCAACTCGGGGCTTCCTCTTGGTCCTTGAAACCAGAGGGGTCCATATTTCTTCCAGAGGGAAACCACAAAGGTGGGTGCCCAAGTTTGAACTGGCGCACGAAGGGGGAAGCTAGGGAAGCTTCAAGTTGGGACTTCAAGGGCGGTTTCAAGTTGACCGTTCCAGCGGGGTAGGGGGGTTCAAGGGCCAGGGGTAGCCTTCCAGGGGTCGGATCAAAGGCAACTAGCTCCGATTCCAGGCAATGGCGGCATTCCCGCAACAAGAAAGAAATATTGGCGCGCTATCCTGGAACTCTTCTAGGTCCTCCAGTAGAGAGGTTAGAATAGGGGTACCTGATTTCTGTAGAACATGTTTTAGTAGGGGAACCCTCCCCAAAAACGGGTGAGAAAGCGCACTACTGGGGGACCTAGACGTAACACTTTGCAGGCTTTTGTCACTCTCAGGAGACCTGAGCCACCCTTGAATCCTGTATTCCCTTCTGTTGATGAATCCAAAAGAATTCCCTTCGACCGCGCGGGCAACGGGATTCCAACAAAAACAAATCCGAGCCCGGCGCGCGTGTGGCCCCTGAATCCTGGTGTATTCGTTCTGCAGTCCTGCGGGCAGCGAGGTCACCCTTCTGGGAGCCTCCCCTTCACTCGGCTGCTTTCTGCTCTGCTAAAAGTGAATAACTTTTACAGGGTTCATACGGAAAACCCATTAGTTGCCTAAAAGTTAAAGTCCTAACATCCCTTGGCGAAATGCACCAAAGTTCATTTTCCCTTCATGTCCCTTCGTCCCGCGTCCTGCAAAACCTTAGTATTGTGATAATCTTGTGGTGGAATGTTTTTTCCTCTTCGTGGTTAGACCCCCCTACTCCCAAACACACCCCAGAAACACGCCCCCTCTCCGGAAAACTAAAATAGACCCGAACTGAAGGGTGCAGTGTGTTTTGGAAAATGGTAGCGGTCTTAGTCTTGTGAAAAGTGCCAGGCCCCCTTTCTGTGACACAAGCTCATCTATGACATTCTTTCTCGAAAGGAAAATGCAGGCAATGGATGCCGAAGGCACCATACTTTGCACCGCCAGAGTCACAGGCCAACCAAATGGCAACTGCCCCGGAATGCAAGTCGACCCCAGCTCAACCTCTGGACCCTTTAACAGAAACAAAAGGAAACCCCTCTCAGACTCTGCACCGCTATATACAGGGAAACTAACCGGAAACTCTCGCAATTTCTGGACCCCCACAGCAGAAGCCAAAAGGAACCAAGCCCACCATTTCAGGACGGAGTCAAAGCGAGCCCTCCCATGCCTCAACTCACCCGCGGCTCTCTCGAGACCATTCGATTCGGCTTTGCAAGTGCCATGCTGGCGATGCTTGGAGCCTCCTGAAGTGAACCGTTTCGTTCTTTTCCCCCCCCCCCCCCCCATTTTTTTTTCTTGGTCCAGTCCTCCCATCTCCCAGAGTAACGCGCTCCCTCCCGCGACCGCGTTCGCGAATTCTCGCGCTCGGAGCGCCTGCGTCGTTGATGACGCGCTCGATGGAGTCGCACTCCTGGAAGCCCATGACGTCATAGGGCTCCGGCCAGCCCGTGGACGCCTCACCGACCAACCCCCCCTATCAAGTCACAACGACGGCGCGGGCGGCGCGACCGACACCCGGCGGACTGGAGGTCGGCGTTGTTTTTTTTGTCTTTGGCTTTCGGGGAAGGGCGAAAAGCGCCGGAAAAACCTGGGCAGAGGTTGTGGGGAAGGGAACCAGATTTTGGCGAAGTTTATTTGATTTAGGGTTTGGCTTTTTTTAAGGTGACCAAAACCAGAGTTAGAACAGGAGTTGTCATAAATGGTAGAATAGATGAAACCATTGGTGCTACTCGAAAGTAGGGGTGGGGGTGGGATTTCGCTCGCGAAGCGAGCGCCCTTTCACAAGACGCGAGAGTTGCTTGGATTGGTTTGGGGATCTTAACCCCTGGTTCTTCTGGGCAAATGGGAAGCCACCAACCACCAAAAGCATCGCAGAAGTTGACGACATCGAGACGTGTGGCGACGGGTTCTATTCAAAGACCCTGCAAGTTTGGCCAAAGGCACAGCACAACCCAAAGCATGTGACAAACCCTGTGGTTTTTTCCATAAGGCTTGGAATCCTGCGGCTCGAAACAACAGAAAGACTAGGTCCACCAGTAGAGAGGCTAGAACCCTTTTTTCTGTAGTCTGTTTTAGTAGGGAACCCTCCCCCAAAAAAGGGTAAAGGGCACTACTAGGAAGAGGGCTCTCAAGTTCTTTTTTTCGCGCTTGTCAACGAATCAGGATGCCGAAAAGCCAAGTAGCCAGTCCCTGTTTGATGGTCGCAATGAGCGATTTGGTTGGGGATTTGAATGCATACCCCCTACACCCAATACCCACTTTTTGCAGGGTATCATGTCGACCCTCTACAAAAAAAAGAGGTATTTGCCATGTAAAAAAAAAACTTAAAAAAGTGGGTATTTTGAGTAGGGGGGTAGGGAATTGAATGAGTAACCAAACTCCTGGACACAAATCCCGACCAAAAAGATGTCCACCCCTGTCCCTTATTCAGTTCAGGTTGCCAGTGAACCGTAAAAATCGGTGTCGCCTGGTTTGTGGCTCACATCTCCCTCCTTCTCACGTGTGCCACTTGGACAATGAAGGAATCGCCCAGTTGCGCGACTTGCTGGCTGAAAGCATAAACATGGGCGGAAGTTGGGCATTTCTGGTCAAAACGCTGGACAAGTTCTTGTTTTTCTTCATCCCCGTAACTCAGCTCGGCTGCCTGCTCCGATACCACTTTCTGTTCGGGAGGTTGAGCCGCTTGCTCTTGTGCCGTGGGAAAAAGGGGCTCTTTGGGCATGTGTCCCGCTCAAATCCGAGGCCGGGGCGATCAACCTACCGCTCCTCCTGCCCTCACCTGGCGCAGTGCTCCAGGTATTTTTGGGGAAGAATTTGGCAGGACCTCCCAAAGGAAGCCCCAAGCATGGTTCCGATTTTGCAAGGTCCAACAGGTGGCCAAACATGCTTCGAATGCCGAGGATACCGCTGGAACAGGGCTGTAACGAAAACATGGCCGCTTCCTTTTGGACCCGTTCCTTCGTGCGTGCTGGCAAGAAGGGAAACCAACAAGGACCCGGCCCGGTTGATTTTGGGAACCGATTGGAAGCAAGGGCCAAGAGCTGTTTCGCGACAGCTCCGCTCGCTTCCGAAGGCTTCCCGAGGCGGACGACCGTACCTTCAGTAGAAATGATTCTCACATGAGGTCATCCTCCATTTGCTTTTAAGTCCCTTGGAAAAATGAAAATATTTCCAGCAGGGGAAACTAAAAAAAACTTAACCAACTGGAAGTCATGTCTATGTAGCAGCGGTTTCCTTTCGGTTTATCGAACAAGTAAGCTTGTTCCGCTTTTTGCCGAGAGCCCTGGCCTTTCGCTTTTTAGAGGTCTGTAACGCGCGACGCGGCACGAATCTTGTTACGGAGGCCTGTAACGGAGGTCCTTGTTACGCAGGTCTGCAACGGAAAGACTGTTCCCGACAAGCAGAACCAGGAGCAAATCAACGCAGGCCGGGCTGCGGCAAAAAGCAGGGTCGCTGGCCCGGACTGGGGTTGGGTCTGTAACGAGGTACGCAATGGCTATGTAACCAGGTCTGTAACGAGGCAAACCAAACCGCAGTACGCAAACCGCGCCTCCACAGCACCAGGTATTCAACGCAAGCCAAGCTGCGGCAAAAAGGGGGTCGCTGGCCTGGGTTGGGGTTGGGTCTGTAACGAGGTATGTAACGGCTATGTAACGAGGTCTGTAACGAGGCGAAGCAACGCGCAGCACGCAAAGCGCGCCTCCGCAGCACCAGGTATTCAACGCAAGCCAAGCTGCGTCAAAAAGCAGGGTCGCTGGCCCGGGCTGGGGTTGGGCTTGTAACGAGGTATGTATTGGCTATGTAACGAGGTCTATAACGAGGCAAAGCAAAGCACAGTACGCAAAGCGCCTCCGCAGCTCCAGCTTGATTGCAGCTATTCAACGCAAGCCAGGCTGCGGCAAAAAGAGAGCAGTCACGTCACTGGCCCGGTTTGCTCATCTGAGGTGTGTAACGAGGGTGTGTAACGAGGGTGTGTAACGAGGGTGTGTAACGAGGGGTGTGTAACGAGCCAGCTGGTCTTGTTACAGAGGTCTGTAACGAGGTCTGTAACGAATGTCCGCCGCGGCTCTGTTACAGACCCCTCAAAAAATCACTGCCATGTGGTTTAATGGTTCCCCACAACCCCGAACGAGGTTATTTTGGCCCGAGTCCGAATGGTTGCGGGGAGCCCAATGGTGGATAATTGTAAACTCTGCAAAACAGAGGCCTCAGTGCTCAGAAAACCTAGGCTTTCCACGGCGAATATCTCCATGTTTTTGGTCAGGGGTTGACATCATACCCTATCCAAAATGGGTGTGTTTTTCTTTGAGGGACCGTTTGTGGGGTTGATTTAAAGGGCAACCAGCAGTAAACAACCCATTTTGGGGAGTTCCCCGTTGAAAGACACACCCAAAGAGGTCTTGGGTGTGGGTTGATCCCTCCCCCCGGTTCGAGGACTCCGCCTCCCCTCAGGCCAAAGAGGTTCCACCTGGGACGCGCTTGAGCCATCTGCATTGGAAACAGCTCCAGGCTACATATTGCCTCGCTTGGGCATATGAATTGTGTCCGCCCCAAAACGCAATGGGTGTCCAACTAAAACAGCTTTGGCCCGGTTGCAAGCATCATATGTTGGGCCAATTCCTCTTAGATGCTTGTTTTGGATCGTGGCTTTACCGAGAGCTGTCTAGACCCCGAAGCGAACCGTTCCGAAATCAATCCGATTCATGTGGCATTCCCTGATTGGGCAAAGTTCCCAATTTGGCCGAATCGGATCCCGGAAAAAAATCACCGGGCATCCAACTAAACCAGCTCCAACAACATTTGCTTTTTTTGCCCCCCGGAAAATAAGGAGAAACATGTTTCCAGTAGTGAAATCGAATCCAACTTTAAAACCGCCATGAGAAAATAAAACATATAGGCATTGTGTGCTTGTTCGAACCCTGGAAATAGATTTAAACAAAAGTTCGGTCGTGATCTACTCCCTTTAAAACCACCAGGAGAAAAAAATCACACATCGTCATTCCAGCGCATCCCAGAGGCTCCCGATTGATTTAGGGCCTTCAAACAACCAACCTCCGGGGTGGCTAATGGAGGGCTCGGGAAAACCCACGAGTGGCTTCACGATCCTCTCTCTCTCTCAGCTCGCAGCCAGAAGAGGTTGTAAGTCAACACCTCCGAGGCTCCGCTTGGGGCGTTTCTTCGTTTGTCTTGTTGTCTGTGTTTTTGTTCATAGGAAAGCCACAAAATGTGTCTGCCCTTCTTAGAGCTAGTACCCGGTACCCCCTTGGGGTTTCAAGGTATTTCAAGTAAAGGAACACCCCCAGATTGGAGTGGCACCTTTGGAGGTCTCAAAAAAGAATCTGGGCTCAAACTTCTCTAGGTCCAACTGCTCTGGGCTCAACTTCTCTGGGCTCAAAAGTTCCACGAGCACCCAAACTCATGGCCAGGATTGCCCCAAACTCATAACCCTCAGATCCGATCCAATTGAGCGGATTGCTCGGAAAAAGTCTTGGAAAGGCCATAAAGCGACGAAAGTCCACCAACTAGGGAAGCGATTAAATGAAGAACGGGCGTGTGTCCAAAGATCCCCCGGACACCGCGCCAAACACCTGCGAAGTGGAGTGGTAATAGCGACCCAAAATGGTCGGTCTGTTTGCCCTTGGTTCCAGGGCTTCATCCATCGAACACTGGAGCCTTCGAACCGTGGATTTCTGGATGCCCATCATTCTAGGGCTAACTTCCCCATTCTTTTCAGGGATCCGAGTCTTTCTAGAAAACCACCCAAAACCCTGGAAGAAATGGCGATCGGTTTTTGAGAAGAACGATGGCTGAAAAGAATGGAAAAGGAAAATCAACCCCTAGAAGTATCCCCCCCAAAAAGAAGTGATCTTGATCCTCTTTTTTTAGAAACAAAGACCCGCCTTCGTTCGAATCAACATGGCTGAAACGAATGGTCATTTCAAGCTTGCTGATCCATTTTCCCTGGGTTTCCGGAGGTTTTCTAAAAATGATCCCTGGAAAGAATGGGGAACTTCCATTTGGCTAAGACCCCTGGGAAAAAAAAAAAACAATATTTCCAGTAGTGACAGATTCCCTTCAAAACCAGCAAGGGAGAAAAAACAAATTTTCCTTTCAGCAAATGGAAGGGAAAATCCACCGCCACGTCCTTGGCAGGGGATCACTTGGTTCAAATCCCCCGCGCCTTGGCGCGGAAGCCGCCCTTGCAGCCTCAGCTGAGCTGACGTGGACTGGACTCCTTATGGGGTTGGAGGGGCTTGGATCTTGACGTTGGGAGCAACCATTTGAAAAAAAATAGCGGTTGAGTGGTCGGATTGCAACCACTCAACCACAAGAAGCAAACATGTAAAATGTTGCCCAACAATGACCATGGGATGGGTGTGGATGGGCTTGGATGGGTCCGGCGTAGTTTTTGCCTGGTGGATGGATTCGGAGTACTTTGAATGGGCGGGGCTGCTTTGGCTAGGTCCAGATTTCTGCGTGTCTGAGGGGCCCCCAAAGACCATGCGGATGTTTTGTTCTACATCCCCGGCCCTTACTCGAAAAATAAGTCCCCAGCCCACTATTCTGAGGTTGTATAAAAGCCTCGTTGCTTTTATGTGCCCTCCGAAAAGTAAGCTATTAAGTCAGTTGAAGTGTTTTGTCATACAACCCCACTATTCAATGGCGCGTCTCACAGTGCACTAAAACCTGGGCGCTGAGAGGAGGAGCAGCTTTATACCACCCTCAACTCGTGTGACAAAAAAAAACGTGGGATTCGATGACTCGCTTGGGGCACAATGGGTTCACCGATCGGCTCCCAGAAGATTAAGAGGAGACCAAAGCACACCATTCACCAACTTTACACCCCATTTTGGCCATGAATGCGGAGCACCCCTGCCAAAATGTCTGTGTGTGAGAGAAAATAATAGGGGACCCTCAAAGTGGTGGGCTTCTCTTTTGGTGTCCCTTTAAACCAAGAGCAGAATCACTCAAAAATCAGAGCCGGCCAAACATCAAGCCCTGGTTCGCAACAAACAACCCCTACTGTCTCAACTCCAAAGAAAGACGTACCAACTTGATATATGCAATACTCAGTTGCAACTTGCTGATGAAGTTACCAGCAGTGGACATACCCTGCCGACGGAAAAAAGGGGGGGGACATCCTATCAGCCCAGCGGCTCAGCGACCAGGACTGGTCGGGAACGTGGGCGCGGCACCTCACCACGCGCGGTGAGTGCTAGACTGGTGTGAGGCAACCCCTTGTGTCTCCTACGGGATCCCCAATTGCGGAATCTCCCCCCCCCCCGCCCGCCCATCAGGGTGTCAATATGGACCCCACGAGCAGGCTTGAAAGCGGATACGTTTTTCGTCTTCCAAGGAACCTCCAGTCAGGTTCCATCTTGGAAGGGAAGCTCTATTGCCATGGTCGCCCTATGGCCCTATGTTGACGCCTATCCTGGTGGAAAATGACCACTGTTCCGTCAAAATGAACGGATCCCATGCCCATGACTAGCTTGTTACAAAGCAGATTCCCTTGGTATATAGCGCTAGAACCGGACTTTCCACCATGATCTCAGTCCACACCCTGAATTTGCGGATACGTCCCCTGGCAAAAATGTGAAAGTATGTCGAGTAGTCATAGATTCCTTGCAAAACCAACCGGGGAAGATGAAACACACATTCCTAACCAAAAGGAAGACACCTTGTCCGGTGGGTTTCCAGCTCGTTCGAGCTCCAAGGTCCCACGCCAACTTTCCAAATGGCTTCCCAAAGTGAGTCAGAATCAAAACCCGGCAGAAAAATTGTCTGCACGAATTAAGAAGGCGGATATCCGCATCTATGTATGGCTGGGATTGGCCCTTACTAACCTTCATCCACCCGGGCTTTGATTGTGGCTGCCCAAAGAAACGGAGTTCTGATCATAGCAGGGACCTCCGCGACGAGTCCCCGCACTTTTGAGGTCAACAAGTCTGGCCAAGAGTAAAGATGTGTTTGTCTGTTTTTTTTTCAGCCAACCCTACGGCAGTTGTGAGTTTTGAGCTACTCTACCGTGTTTTGTTTCTTTTGTTTGTTTGCGTCCAAGAAAAAAACAACTTTTGGATGGCCGAAAGCGCGATATTCTGGGCTGTTCAAATCTTGGTGGCTCCCAGCCAGGCGGTTCCGTAGCTTTTTAGCCTTTTAGTGTTTAGTGGTAGTTTCCAATTGACCCACTAAAAGTTAGTCACTTTTAGCGGGGGATCAGAAAACGGGCAGCCCAGAAATGTAATCCTTAATCCTTGTCCAGGATGACCGGGCCCCAACATGTTGCCCCCAAGTAACCAATGCTTGGCATATTCTCATGGTTTTCCCTTCGGGCCGTTCCCAGGTGGATGACCGCCAAGTACCCAATGTGACTCATATGGCTGGGCAAAACCCAGGAAACCCCTGGTGAACGTCCAAATAGGTGGTACATGGGTCAACTCCGCCCCAAAATGGCTCGCCATAGGTTATGACCCATTCACCAAGTAACTCGACCATGGTTTTCCCAAGCCTTACTCATTGATGGCTAAGAGTCCTTACCTGGATGACTGGGCCACATTTCCACCCCAAGCAACCCATGTGACTCATTTGGCCATTGGCCAACATCTCGTACCCCCAGTGAACATCCGATTCAATCCCCACTAAAATCGGTTCTAAAATGGGTGGTGAATTCACCAAAGCCAAAATGGGATCACCCCAAACGGTGTTGACTCGACGGCCATGCGCCTTTGACACAGCGACCGAGATCCAACCGTTTTCTCCGCCGGGCTCGGCGCCATTGGTGGCCTCCAACCACGATGTCCTCAAATTCCACTGCGATCGAAGCGGAGGCCCCAAGGCTGTCTGGTTTCGGTTTCTATGGGCTAGGTCCTCCAGATTCGAGAGGTTAGGATAAGTCGGTACCCGACTTTTTTCTGTAGAACATATTTTAGTAGGGCAACCCTCCCCAAAAAAAAGGGGAGAGAAGGGCACTACTGGACCTAGTGGGGCATCCAAAACCCATGGAACACCATGTTCCTCCAAAAGGAAGTGGTCGGTTTTCCGTGCGAAGTGCTTCTTTGGTGAATTTCACCTAAATCCGCCGACATTGCTCGGCGTGTCGGATACCAAAGAGAGGACTATTGGATACCTAAGAGAGGATAGAGGATAACCCCCCCCTTAGTCCCCCCCCGGGACACGTCAAATACGCATGGTTTTTCGGTCGCCACCCCCCCCCCCCCTCCTACCGCGCGGCAATTTGATGACGTTCCACTAAACGTAGTCTTCGGGGAGCCGGTGTCGCAAAACAGGGGTCCCAGGCTCGATTCCCCCTGCCGGCTTTTTTGCTGGCTTGGGCTTCCTACATCCTTTTGCCGAAAATCTGGAAAACTCCATGTTTTTGGACGTCTTTCATACATTCATCCATTGCATTCATTTCATACATTACATTCATTACATTCCTTACATACATTACATACATACATACATACATACATACATACATACATACATTACATACATTACATACATACATACATACATACATTACATACATTACATACATACATACATACATACATACATACACATACATTACATACATACATACATACATACATACATACATACATACATACATACATACATACATACATACATACATACATACATACATACATACATACATACATACATACATACATTACATACATACATACATACATACATACATACACATTATTACATTACATTACATTACATTACATTACATTACACATTACATTACATTACATTACATTACATTACATACATACATACATACATACATACATACATACATTACATTACATACATACATACATTACATACATACATACATACATACATACATACATACATACATACATACATACATACATACATACATACATACATACATACATACATACATACATACATACATACATACATACATACATACATACAGACAGACAGACAGACAGACAGACAGACAGACAGACAGACAGACAGACAGACAGACAGACAGACAGACAGACAGACAGACAGACAGACAGACAGACAGACAGACAGACAGACAGACAGACAGACATACACATATATATATATATGCATACATACATACCAGAGAGGGAGACTGGGCATGGAGAGGCTTGGGGGGATGGGGAGGATGGGGAGCAGAGGGAGGGAGAGAGGACGACAGAACACACAAGGGAGACAAGGGAGAGAGGCAGAAGGAGAAAAGGGAGAGGACAATGTCGGCGGACTGAGCCGGAGGCTCTAAAGTTGAGGGACCTTTATGGACTCGTGTTGCCCAAAGGTGAGCTTGCCTGCATTACTGAAGAATGCGAAAGACCCGTGTTTGGATGTGTTAAAAAAAAAGAGGCGGAAACACAACAGGACACTTACTATGTGCTCAGAAAAGCATCCACGATTTCAAAGAGCGGCTACTGAGGCAGTACGAGAGCATGTTGGCTGGGTGCTTGCTGTTCAGAGATCCTCCACAAACTGTGAAAGTTGATGCCACAACTCGCTTTCCGTCCGGGGAGTGGAACAAAAGGGGTTTGCTTGGTTGACGTTGGAAGGGGAGCAAAATTATAAATTTGAGCAGTTAAGTGGTTAAATATCAACCACTAAACCACGATAAGCAAAATGTAAAATGCTTCCCAATGAGCCCTCCACTTTTTAATCTGCAGAACTCCATCGGAAGCGCCGAACTGAGGCTCCGGCGCTGACGCGCCAGAAGCTGCTGGATCGAGTGGTGGCGTTGGCCAGCGACTGTCGCAGGTCGGATGCGCACCCGGCCCAAGATCGACGCTTGGAAGACCCAAGCAGAAAAAAACAAACATGGCAAAGAAAAGGCGCAAATCGAACACCCCAGATTGAAAGGGGTCACAAGGCAGCGGAATAATATATATATATGAAAAAAACAAAAAAACAAGTGCATCCACTGACCGGTGGACTGCCATGACCTGTTTGTACCCTTCCATTTACGTTTTCGCCCCCTGGTAAACATTAAAAATATACATGTATTATTCAGTAGTGATAGAGTCCCTTTAAAACCAAGAAGGGAAAATACACAATATTCCTTTCAGCAAATGGAGGTATCAGTTTTTGCAGGATTCCAACTGGGAATCACAAGAAACTGGCCCCAGCTCCCCGTTGACCACATGTCCACTGGCCACATCTCAGACGCGTTCATCTGAACGTCTCAGGGTTCTCAGGGGATCGCCAAACGTGATAAGTTCGTATGGCTCACACGTCTTGAAGGGATCCAAGAGTGTACAACCTGGAGCCTCTTTTGATAGGTCTAGGCCCAACCTGGAGCCTTCCAGACATCTTGACCATTTTGTTGGTCAAAACCTGGAGCCTCTTCTTGGTTGACGTTGGAAGGGGAGCAACAAAAAATAAATTTTAGCAGTTAAGTGGGGATTTCCCACTAAACCACACCAAGCAAACATGTAGAGTGTTGCCCAACAACAACCATGTCTTTCCGAAAGCCATTCTTCTCCAATTGCACAATGCCAGTGCCTCCGTTTTCTGCCTCGAAGGCTTTCCCCAGGTAGACTCAATGCGCCAAGAGTCGAAAGGTCACGTGGTTACGTTCCTTTTCAAAGGACGCTCCCTCAGGTTTTTGCGTGTCTTTGGTGTGCTGTAACCCCCTGCAAAACCCGCCGGCCCCGCCCTGTTTGCTGCGTCAGCGTTCACGACGGCTTGTCCTGACGGGTCATTTGGGCAATTTACTGATCGCCCGAAAGCAAATGAGGGTTGATTCGGCACAAGCTGCCAAAGACAAAAACCTGCTTGTTGACCCCTCAAACTTTTTTTGTTGGCCTGCAAAAAAAGACACCGGAAACCGGAGATCACTTGCAATTTTATGAGTTCACAAGATGACATGGACAAACCTGGGGGATGGTTTTCGGCAACCGAACCAAACTTATGAGCCTGGGTTTTTGGTTCTGCCCCCTCTATATCCTCAGATGCCCAGTGGCCATGGGAAGAAGGGCATCCTTTTTTGCTTAATTGAGTTTAAAGGGGAACCCTTCCAAAAGAAAAGTAAAAAAGGGCCCCACTGGGCAACTGTGCATCCTGCCGCTAGTTTTTGGGCCTAGCTTCGTGGGCCCTTTGGGGCCCGCCCCGGGTTTCCTGTTCTCAATAGACTGCCTTCAAGCCCACTGCGAATGCTTGATGCAGGGTGAAGTCTAGTCTTGTGTTGATCACAGGGGCCGTTTGCCCGGCGAGTTGAGGTGATTTACAAAGAAAAAACCCATGGAGTTGTCTGGGTAACTTCGAGTTAGTGGAAACTACCACTAAACCCATGGCCGGGAGCCACGCTAAGCGTGGCTCCTCGCTTCATTCAGTTTTTCAACCCCCAAACTAGTCTCAGACTTCTCCATGTAAAATAAAACAAGCGCGGCCAATACTCAGGGGAAAGCTTCACAGAAGGGCTCCCGAAAGACACCCCCTTACCTCACCTTTCTGGAGACTCGCCTCAACCTTCAACTTGGATTTCACCTTGTTGACCACCTCTCAGGAAAAATACTTGATGGTTCTCAGCAGGGAATGAGGGAATGGCCATGAATGACCCCTGGCCGTCCAACTGATGGTTCCCTTTATTCGGACATCCCAAAACGGTTCATGCCCACATTCCCTACCCATCGCACCAGCATGGCCTGTTGGCCTCCGGGAATGCATGCGATGCCCCGGGTTTTTCGAGCGAGAGATCCGGATCGATCCGCCTAGGAGTGCAGCAGCGACCAGGAATCGAGCCATCCTACAGACGTCACTCCGGGCGCGAGGCTGGAACCAGGCAATTCGTTCGGGAAAGAGTTACTCTATTTTCCAGCACCCCCACCCATGTCAATCCCCTACTGTCAAAAAACAGTGGTTGGGGGGATGGGGGTCCTGGTAGGATTGTGTTTCTCCTCAATGTCAAGTCTTTTCTTCTAGGCTTTGATGAAAGATTGCATAATTTGCGTGTGGGTAAGCGAAATGAATTAACTGTTCAAAATGAACAAAATTGCACCTACCAACTCTCCCGGGGTCTCTTTTTAAATTGTATTTTCTCCTTTTGCTTTCCACTTAAAACCACACAAAAGGGGGACCCTCCAAAAATAGGACAGACCTGATTGTAAGATGCTGCTAATTCCAAGCACTGAATATCAGGAAGCAGCCCTAAGCCTTACTTCGCCCTTAACATACCGGTGGGTGTTCTCCAAGGAAACCAATTGCACTCAAGAACTTCACGAGTGCTCCAGTTCTAGGTGCTCTGCTGCAATTCTAGAACCCAATTTTGAGGATGCCCTCAAAAGCGCACCAGGGCAAGGGCTCCACGTCCAGCAAAACGCATGTACCACTTTCGGCTGGGTGCACAAAACAAAACAAACTAAAAACTAAAGAACAACAAATAAAGACGAAGAAACAAAACGACAGGGGTCTTGACCATGTGAGAGCACCACGCCGCCACGAGAAACCACTGAGTCTTTGAACCGAGCAAGCGCATTCCGAAGCTCAATGCGAGTTGCGCCTGTCTGGAGCCTCAAGCCAGACTCAGAAAGCTGGATATGCTTGGGGGCGAATGTTGGCCCCATATGAGTCACAATCAAAACCCGGATTTAAAATGGTCGACCCAGAACCTTGTAAAGAATTAAGAAGGCGGCCGCAGCTATTTATGGTTGGGATTCTCCCTTACTGACCTTCATCTACCCGGGTTTTGATTGTGGCTCATATGGCTGCGGTTGTCAAAACCGTTTTGGGATCCCATTTTGGTTGGTAGGTGAATTCACCACCCATTTTAGAACCAATTCTAGTGGGGATTGAATCGGATGTTCACTGGGGGTACGATTTGGATTTGACCCATGGCCATATTCATCAACCCCAGTTTATTCATTGGGAGATGTCCTCCAAAAAGCGATGATTCCCTGAATAAACTGGAGTTTGTCAATCTGGGGTGAACATTAGTCTGAACACTGGTTTGTCTTAGTTTAACATTGCCTGGCAAGCTTGGATAGATGGTGCCAACATGAACCTCATTCCCATGCACAAGAATTGCCTTCTGCAAAGTCTGCAAAACGGTACTGTGCGTAAGGCAACTCTGTAGGTACGGCACTGGGGATGTATGTGTGAGGGGGGGGGCCTTCACAAGAACTCCAATTGCCTCGCAATCCTCGCTTTGATCAAACAGCACACTGCAAGCAATCTGTGTTGCAAACATGCCCAATCGAACATAATATTGGCTGAAATCTGAAGGTCAAGGTGCACCATCGCAGGTCTCACTGTCTATGTCCCCTTACGGTAAAATAGAAAAAGTTGGCCCAAAAGGAGATAGGGCGTCTTTGGTTGCAGCTGGCACCCTCCGGGATTTATAGGGAAACCAAAACTAGGTCTTCCAGTAGAGAGGTTAGAATAAGTGTGCCACCTTCTTTCTATAGAACATATTGTAGTAGGGGAACCCTCCCAACCAAAAAAGTTGGTGAGAAAGGGCACCTAGCTGGGGGACCTAGGAAAGGAAACCCAGAACCCATTTTGGGGCGCTCCAAATCCTTTGAGCACCGAGAACCCTCCTGTGCTCCCCAGCCTCGTTGCGGGGTTGTTCCAGTTCCCCGTCAGTTGGCCACGTGTTGATTCTCTTGAGCCGAGGGCGCCATCGCGCGTTGCCCAGGCAGCGCCGGGGAACCAACTGCCCGGCTCCCTTTTGCTTTGGGCCCTGAAAATTGGTCGTTCTCAACTTGGTTGCTGTTGACCCCTCCGCAAAAAAGTATAACCATTTTATATGCGGGTCCAATGGAAAGTCCTCTGTTTCCCAAAAAGTTGGTCCGGGTTCTTCATGCAAAAATGAGTGCCGAACGGCTGGGTCAAAGAACCATTGCCGTTGAACAAAGGACTAAGATCCTCTACAAATACGAAGCAACCAAAGTCGCAGCGAAACAAGCCAATCAGTCAGCCAACAAACAAACTTGGTGCGAGACCTGTCAACATACTGCAAGCAAACCAACCGGAATATGGCAATTTTAAGCCAACTCAAGCCCTGCTTTGCTGTGGCATCGCTTTCAAAATGTCTTGGAACCCTAAAACCTGGCAGTTTCGCTCAAGCGGAAAAATACAATCAGAGGGTAACTGAGTTCCGGAAAAGCTCAGTGTGTCCACGACGCGGGGCTGACATGCAACTTGGGGGCAAGTTGCTCCTGGTAAAAAATCAAGTTCTGAAAAGATTGATGCCCATGTCAGTCTTTAGCATCCCGTTCATTGAATTATAACCATTCCGATTCCTTGGGCTTTTGGAAACAAAACGGATCCCTGGAAGGGATGGGGGTTAGAGCTAGACAACTGGGTGTGCTTTTTACAAGGTATATACCCTAATTGCGGTATCTTTGAGGAGAAACCAATGAAAACACAGAAAATACCCATTTGAAGGGTTCCTGCATTTGGAGACAAACCCAGGTAAACGGCGCGCGCGTCCGCGCTTTTTGCATGCTTGAAACATCAGCGGCGCTTTGCACCGATCGGCAGCTGTCCAAACCAAACAAAACGAACGGGGACCAAAACGTTTCAAGCACGGCATGTGGGTCTGCACCCTTTCCGGTCTTTTTCCGAGGGGTCCAAAGGAAACCACCCGTTTGCAGGGGCTGCCCTCTAGCCAAACAATAACAACTAGGTCCTCCAGTAGAAAGATTAGAATATGGGTACTTTTTTTCTGTAGTTTATTTTTCAGTAGGGGAACCCTCCCGTACAAGGGCAGTACTGGGGAACCTAGACAAGGACACCTTGAATCCATTGCAGCTGATCTGGCCGCCGGCTCTCCTTTTGAGCGCCGGGAGCCACAACTTCATTGACCCTTTTGCCAGACGTAGACCCTGCAAAAAACGGGCAACATGCCAGCACCCCCCCAACTTGCCGGCGTTTTCGCATCTGCAAAACCCCGCACAGTCCAAATAGCGGTCCTTCTAGGGTGCTGGTGGAACTTTCCGCTCGGTGAAAGGGAAAATGAAAAAACAAAAAAGCGAAGTCCCGAAGGCAAGCTAAGTCTGGCATTGAAAATGTTGCACACTCAGACCATTTTGGTCTCAGCCTGGGAGCACCGAAAAGGCACATTCAAACCCTTGGGCGAAATTCCACCTGGCCGTTTCTCAAAATAGTGGTCCTCTAAAATGGTCGGTTTCGTGTTGTTGTTCCCTTGGAATATCAACATTTTCAGAAACTGCCACCATGTTCTTTGTTCTACCCTTAATTAACAACATCAGCATGGCGGCCGCTCGCATAATCTCTTCTGCAAGCTTGACTGAAACATATTTGGGTATCTCTCACAGTGGACCCCAAATTGGGTGGCTTCTTTTAGGCTTCCCGTAAGGCAAAAAGGGTTACTCCAAAAAAAAGAAAGAACCACCCTCGGCATGAATTTCCATTCAACCACTTGTGAGCATAGATTCCAGGGCCTTGGGCAATGAACCCAACCGGCCTGCGGATGTTCATACCATATCCGCTCCCCAAAAGGGGGTACATACCCATAGAAAGTGGGCTGGAACCCAAGGAAGCCACGAGCTATGAAGGGTATGTACTTCCACCCTTAGATGTCTTTTTGGGACAATAGATAGCCCATGAAACAACCGAGTCAACCAGGGAAACAGAAAATGGTCCAAACCAGGACATACCAGGACCAAACGTCAGGTTCCTTGCAGCTGTTGATTGGTGGGAGGATACCTATGCTTGTGAGAATCTGTTTCCAGTAGTGACAAAGTTTTTTGGAAACCAACCAGGAAAAAAACCTATCTTTAACCAAATGGAAGCTACCACACCCAAAAAGGACTCACTATGACTCACTCCAACCGCTTGTGAGGCCCCGAAAATTCACAGCCACTGAGCTCATTATTTTGAATCTGTTTCTGGAGCTTTAATAGTTGGTTTCCCTTTAATCTACCGCTGAATGGAAATGACTTTGGTCAAAGCCCCACCACCCAGCCCCCACCACCCACCCCCGCCCCGCCCCGCCCACGTCCACCCCAACCCCATGAAAGCTCCTAGCCGCCCATTTGCGGATTGGCGAAAGCAACCCGGCGACTCGCGGACTCGCCGCGTCAAGCCGGAGTCGTCCAAGGTCCCGACCCGGAGATCTCAGGCCTCCAGACGAAAAAGAGTTCCAAAAGTACCTTCCATTTCGTTTCCAGGGATCCTTCTGTCTAGAAAACCTCCGGAAACCCAGGGAAAACGGCGTTTTTTGTTTTATTGAAAAGAACGCTGGTTGACGGAATTCCAGGGGCACCTTCCATTCTTTCCTGGGAAGGATTCCGGACGAAAGAAGGATTCCGGCGGGCGCTTCGACCATATTTCTCGACCTAGTGGCTGTGGCTCAAAGATCCAGGGATACCTTCCATTTCCATTCCTTCCAGTCCTTCGTTTCCCAGACCTCCGGAAACCCAAGGAAAACGGCGGTTTGAAAAAGAACGATGGTTGAACAGAATGTAAAAGGAATCAACCCCTAGAATAATTGGCCATGAAGAAAAACCAACATATATATATATATATATATAAACGTCGGAGTCGGGTCCCAGTCACGCACGAATGGATTTGCTTTTAAGGGTGCTTGACCCGTCAGCCAGTCGGTTGTATTGTGTTGGTTGTATTTGGTTGGTGGATTTGCACAACCAAACCCGAAAAAACAAGCAAACACCAAAAGTCACAAATGGCAACAAAACAGTCGCCGAAGTTGTTGTTTACCAGAATGGCCACCCAGTAGAGTCCGACTCGGAAAGGGAGCCATGGGCGCGAAACGGGAAGATCCCTGAGTGGAACCCTCTCAGTAGGACGGGTTTCTTCCGTGGTGGGGGGTGGTGGTGGGGTCAACAGCACCCCTGTCGCCGAAGGCACCCCAAAGTTTGCCATGTGCTGCCCTGGTTGTGGAATCGGGATGGTCTTGCGGAACATTGGCGCGTAGGGCGGGGGGTTGAGAGTTCAACCCCGTGCTTACAACATGTATTGTTTCAAAACCCAACCCCCCGGCGGCCATGGGAAAAAAGGCACTCGTTTTTGGCAGTTGATTTTCAAGGGACACCTGGACACAATTGAGCCGTGCCAAATACTCTTGTGTAAAAAGCGGTCCTATGAACTTGCTTTCGCGGACCCTTTCGCGATGCTTTCGCGACCCCATGTTTTGCTTTCGCGGGCTTTGTGTTCTCTAGAATTGCTTTCGCGACGCTTTCGCGGCGGACTGTCACACAGCATGCAGGCTTTCGCGGGTCTTTCGCGGCGGGACCTTCTTTGGTTACTTTCGCGATAAGCTTTCGCAAGCTTTCGCGGCCTGCGTTTTGGCTTTCGCAGGGATTCTATAGGACAACCCCCTTTACTACTTTGTATTGTCAGGGCTTATGGCGCTGCTCAATTGAAAAAGGGGCAAATGAATTGCACCTACTGGGTGTCTGGTAACAAGCTCCTTTTGGTTAAACCCACATTTGGGCTTGTCTCAAAATGGAGGTACCCCAGCATGGATTCGGGCTTCCTGTTGGTTTCCCTCTAAACCAAGCTTCAAAGCGTACCCTGCAACACACGCATTTGGTGCTGTCCTTCTTTGCCCTTTCTTGTGTGTCTGTTTTTTTGTTGTACCCGTTTGGTGGTTCGGAAGAACAAACAAGACAGAAAGCTAGCTGTTCCCTACCACCTGCGCATTTTTGTACCCATTGAAACAACCAAACATCAAGGGAAACGTTCCCTACAACCTGCGCGTTTTGCACCCTTTGAAACACACGTGAATTACTTCTTCTGGGTCCCTAAACCCCTAAAATACACACACAGACACACAGACACACAGACACACAGACACACAGACACACAGACACACAGACACACAGACACACAGACACACAGACACACAGACACACAAGCACACAAGCACACAAGCACACAAGCACAGAAACACAGAAACACAGAAACACAGAAACACAGAAACACAGAAACACAGAAACACACACACACACACAAAACCACACACAAACACACAAAACCACACAAAACCACACAAAACCACACAAAACCACACAAAACCGCACAAAACCACACAAAACCACACAAAACCACACAACACCACACAAACACACACACAAACACACAAACACACAAACACACAAACACACACAGACGCACAGACACACAGACGCACAGACGCACAGACGCACAGACAGACAGACACAGACACAGACACAGACACAGACACAGACACAGACACACAGACACACAGACACACAGACACACAGACACACACACACACACACACAGACACACACACACACAGACACACACACACACAGACACACACACAAACAGAGACAGAGACAGAGACAGAGACAGAGACAGAAACAGGGACCAGCGGCAGCGACAGAGACAGAGACAGAGACAGAAACAGGGACAGGGACAGGAACAAAACAGAGGCAGCGGCAGCGACAGAGACAGAGACAGGGACGGGGACAGGGACAGGGACAGAGACAGAGACAGAGACAGAGACAGACACAGAGACAGAGACAGAGACAGAGACAGAGACAGACACAGAGACAGAGACAGGGACAGGGACGGGGACGGGGACAGGGACAGGGACAGGGACGGGGACAGAGACAGAGACAGAGACAGAGACAGAGACAGGGAGAGAGACAGAGACAGAGACAGAGACAGAGACAGAGACAGAGACAGAGACAGGGACAGGGACAGGGACAGGGACAGGGACAGCGACAGGGACAGGGACAGGGACAGGGACAGGGACAGAGACAGGGACAGAGACAGGGACAGGGACAGGGACAGGGACAGGGACAGAGACAGGGGCAGGGACAGAGACAGAGACAAAGACAGAGACAGGGAGACAGAGACAGAGACAGAGACAGGGAGACAGAGACAGAGACAGAGACAGGGACAGAGACAGAGACAGAGACAGGGACAGAGACAGGGACAGGGACAGGGACGGCGACAGGGACAGGGACAGGGACAGGGACAGGGACAGAGACAGAGACAGAGACAGAGACACACACACACACCTTCCCCCCCCCCCCCCCCGCGGCGGAGTCAGTTTCTCGGCACCGCACTCCGGAGCTCTGCCATGGCTTCGTTCAGCTGCAGCTTGGCCTCGTCTCAAGGCTTCAAGGCTGGTCTGAGTCAAACACGTGGTGAGATAGGTAGGAAATGACCCTGGGTTTTGCGGAATGACCCTAGAAATTTTGGGCATGACCCTAGGGGATTCCTGCAAAGGAAACCATAGGAGATGGTTTCTGTCGGGCTCATTCCCTCATTTTTTGAGAACCAGCAAGACCAAAAAAAAATGGGTGGGCCCTTTCGCGTTTTCCCTTGGCTTCGGACCCCAGAAAGGGCACTTTTTCGAGCCTCGAAAAAAGCCAAAAGCCGGACGCGCCTTGGCGGCCAAATTTGGATCCACAGAGCGGACACGTGGACCCAAATGAGAACCCTCAAATTCCACCCTTGGATGTCTTTTTTGCTTCTCGAACCGGGGTTTGGGATGACTTTCTCGCCGCCGAAACCGAAAACAAAACACTATCACCTGGTCTAGGCGTCTGGAAAGCCGGAAACCAGGAGGAGCGAGGCTTGGAAACGTCTCCAAGCATAGGTGTCCTTTTAGGGGCAACAAATGGCCGTGGTAGATGATCAAACCACCATCTATTTTTCTACCAAAACAACCAAAAAGGGCACCGGTCTACGTCTCAAAAAAAGTCCGAGCAAACCCTCGCCTGCAAAAGCCGGCCAGCTGGGTCCGTGGGCGCCTGACGTGAAGCGTCCCTCTATTTTTCCCGCGGCTTTGAGGTCGATTTGTGGAAACCCCCGTGGTGGCTTTCCTCTGCGTTTTCCCTTACGACCAAAACATGGGTACTCTCCAAAGACAACAAACAACCGTCAAGAAACACTGATTGGTTTGGAGCTGGGGTTGGCTTCCCATTTGGGCATCTTCTTTTTGGGGCCCTGATGGGTGGTGTTCCTCTTGGTTTTCCTTTGCCAAAAACATAAGTACCCTGAAAGGACACCCATCCCTGGGGGCTCAAGGATTAAAATTCCCAAAGCACATAATTCAGGGCTGCCTGAACTACTAGGGCCTTAAAAATAAGAATGGTGAACTCCTGAAAATTGTCGGGTGCCTATTGGTGTTCTTTGACGACCATGCAAACGAGGGTTCCTCATGTTGAGACGCATGTGTGCGTGTGTAGGTGTGGATGTGCGTCCAACATGTGTGGCTCACGTTGGATTCATATCCATGATCTTTCCAAGGCAAGGCGGTTCTTGATCCACAAGGTCAAGTTGATCCAAAGTGAACATGAAGCTTCCTTTTTGCGCCGCCAAGCAAGGCGTTGAAAAAAGTGACGGTCAGCCCCCATGGAACTTGCCAAGGGAGGTCCCCGTATCGGCCCGTCTGATGCCATGCTCGCCTGCGCGGCACGGCGAAGTGGTGAGCCTCAGCACCCCAAGCGTTCCCTCGCTTTGGGTCGGTTTCAGGCGCCCCAAGGAGACCCGACCCAGGCAAACGCGCAAACGCGCGAAGGGCGTTCCCCGGCATAGGCGGCCGATGTTTGGAGAAGATGACACGGTCAAAGGCGCGGAAAGGAGAAGGGCCCCCGTTGCTTTGGGGACTCTTTTTTTGGGGCCAAAGGAAGCCAAACACTTGAAACCCTCAACTTGAATCCCAGTTTTTTGCCCCCCCCCCCCCCACGAAAAAAAAGAGGCAGCCACGGCTTTCCTTTTGGTTTCCCTTGAAGACACTTCCATAAGAGGGGGCTCACCTTTCGCCGCAAAAACTTGGTGCTGCTGATCCCTCTGCAAAAAGTGAACAACTGTTTGTGGGGTTTAGCAAGGAAAACCCAACTTGATTTCAACCAAACAGTGTTTCAGTCCAAAGATCCGTTGCCCAATAGCAGTCAAAAAAAATCGGGTGCCACCCCAATGACCGCCTGGGCCCAGACACGGCACGCTGGAGGTGCTGCCTCCGCGGGCGCAGCTCATGAGCTCTTGCCGCAGCTTCAGCCCCGAGTCGTCAGATTCATAGCTGGGGGTTCTTCCATTTAGTGAAGGCTTAAAGGAAGAAAACAAAAAAGTCCAGTAGTGATGAATTCCCTTTCAAAACCAACAAGGGGGGGAAAAATGCTCTTCAGCAAATGGAGGGTTTCCCTGGTGAATGGATGGCATAAGACGCATCTAAGACGCTGGAACCCATCTATTTCTAACCAAACAACAATCAAAGGACGCCTTTTTTATACTTTGAAGAACCTGGTGTTTCATGGTAAGTACGCTCTATGTTCGTCAGGTGTTGGAATCATACCCTCACAAAGCGGGATTGGGGAGGGGGTATTTTCCAAATATGGAGTGGACAAAGACAAGTGGAGGAAGGTGTCCGTTTTGACTAACCTTGCCAAAGGGCACGGTGCCCTCACAACACAACCACATTTTGGGTGCGCCCCAATGGTTGGCCCAAAAAGGGATGGCGTTCAGGTCTCCCTTGAAAATCAACAAGCAAAAGAGGGCTTCCATTCTGGTCCATGTCAAGTGAACATTCATGCAAAACGGGTAAAACGATGTCTAAAGGGTCCCCAGTGTTAACTGCCTAGCCAGGTCGGCACAAGTTTCCCCTCCAACTAACTGGATCAACCATTTTTGGTGGGCGTTCTAAAGAAAGGGCAGGGAATGACGGTTTTGGGAATGACGGTTTGGGGAATAACAAGGGATTTCCTAATAAGCCATATAGGGGATGGATTTTGTCGGGGTCATTTCAATTCTCATTCCCTGCATATCGAACCAGCAACTAGGTCCTCCAGTAGAGAGGGTAGAATAAGGGTACCCTTTTTCTTTCTATTTTAGTAGGGGAACCCTCCCCAAAAAAGGGGTGAGAAAGGGCCCTACTGGGGGACCTAGGCAAGTAAAACCCCAAACCCAGCGCCAACGGACTCCGCCTGCGCCGTCTCGGAAGGGCGACGCCGGCGACAGCGTCCCACTCAGCGCGCCCAGCGCGCTGGCGGGCGCGCCGGGCACTGCAAGCGGTGCGCTGGGCACTGCAAGCGGTGCGCTGGGCGCTGCAAACTGCCTGGCACCGACTCAGAGTAAATCAGGGGGCCCGAAATGGGTCTGACTTTTTTTGCCGAGTACCCTTTGCTCGGTTTTTAAAGGGAAGCAGACAAGACGAAAAGCCTCCTGGAATTATTTTCTCTATATATATATATATGTGTACGTATATATATATATATATGTGTATATATATATATATATATATTGGGGGGAGCAAAAGAAATGACACCCCCAAATGCGTCCTAAATAACAACCGATGTCGATCGCTTGCACCCCGTCGCGCACCGAGATTCTGCCAGGGCGGTGTGCTCCTGGGCCGAAGCAAGTCTCTGGTGTCATCCATTTGCGGATACGTCCCATGGAAACAATGAGAACATATGTCAGTGATAGATTTCCCTTTAAAATCAACAGGGGATCTAGAAAAAAAAATGAGCAGATGGAAGTTGTGATGCCAAGTGGGAGAGTCGACGACTCAGTTTGTTTGATAATTGGACCCCGTTGATAAAGAAGATTGACTTTGCCTTCAAGCCTTCTTTTCCGCAACCAACAAGTGTTGTATCAAAACAGAAGAAGGTGCGGATTGCAACCAGCCCAAAATGTCTAAGTAAGTCCACGTGCTGCGTTTTGAAAGGAAACAGGCTAACTTAGCTTGAAAGGAAGTGTCTTCACAAAACCGCTTCGCCCGCCCCGTTGAAGTGACAGTGGGTCTTGGCCAATCATCAGATCATTTCCAAAACACAAAGTAATCATGGGGGTTGGGGGGAGGGGGAGGGGGAGGGGGGCTCTAAGTAAGGGCTTATTAAGGGCTTATTTGGGCTCCCTCCTCCCCAGCTCCTGACATGGTCGTCCCCTCCCCCCCCCCGATGTGCGGTACCCAAGTGGTTGGGCGTCCCATACCCATGCGGCAAATTAGAGGGTTTCCTTGTTCCCTTATACTTGCAGGCAACTCACTACGTCACATGTTCTTTTCTGCCAAAGCCCGATTTCTCCACGCCCAAGGGCGATGAAGGTGGCTATCCTATCGAGTAACACCTTGGAACCATCGAACACCTAGGGGCCATACCCTGAGTGGTTCCCTTGCTGGTTTCAAACATCTGTTGGGCCAAAAGGTGAGCTTCAAAAGATGTGTCCAACTAGGGGGATTCTAAACATAGTGGTTCTCCCTTTGATTTCCCTTGAGCAACTACACACGCCAAAAGAACAAAACAGCTGCAAACCAAAAAACACATACATACATACACATACATATATATATATATATACCCACACACACACACACTCTCCTAGCTGTGAAAGCAACTCGGCGGAGAACTGCAGCTTCCGTCCTTCTGCAGGGCAGCCAGAGCCTCCCGTGCCTTCGTCAATTCGCGGCTCGGGAGAATGGGCGAAGGGGCTTCCCCCTTTGGCTCTAACTGGTTCAACTGCATGGTTCGTGTTCTTTAGGGCTCCTCTCCCTGATTTTGAGGGGGAAACTTAAATGCTAGGAAGCCAACGTCTTGGGCCCCGTCCAACAATCCGCACGAGCCTCGTCCCGCTGCGCGCTCGCCTTCGCACGCTCTGCCTGGACAGCTTTCCGCCGGACAAAACTAGCCCAACCTACCTAGGTTCTCCCAAGAGGACACGGGAAACTTGGGAAGAGCACCCTTCGATGTGTTGTTGGCCCTCCAGGTTCTCCCTGAACAGTAGACTACCAATTCAATGCTAGTGTCAGATGCTCAAATGCGTGTGGAAATAATAGGGGACCACCCCCCAACAAAAGGTTCCCTTTGGTCTCCCTTTTTTTAACCTCAGAAGGGCGCCTTCAAAAAAGACACATGGCTGTGGGTCAAAACCAATGGTACCATTTGGGGTAGGTGCACCACCCATTTTAGAACCTATTTTAGTGGGGAATGGGATTTTCACTGGGGGTACGGCTTTTGACCCATGGCCACCTTGGAATGCGACCTCAAGAAGCACCTACCACCTACCTAGTTCAAGGACTTCCTTGCTTATCGTTTTCGGAGGTAAGAATTCTTCGGAACATCCGCCCTCTCAATCCTTCCAAGCCCTTGAGGACCCTATTTTTCCACACTTCAACACCCCCCCCGAAACTTTGTGTTGTTGACCTCCATTGGACCTCTTAAGCGCATGCCCCTTTGGGCGTCAGGTCTCGTGTCTCGCCCAGTGCGCCTCGACTTCCATGAGCTCGCTCTGAAGCCTCAAGACCAGGGCCTGTCAGCTGGAGCTCTTGTGACCAGCACCCAAAAGCACCCACCACCACCCACCACAACCCACCCACTACCACCAAACCACCACCAGCAAGCAGCACCACCAAGGCGCTTTCGTGTTTTGTTTCTCCTTTTTTTCTTCTCGGCAATGCGGCGTACCGAAGCATCGGATGGGATACGCCATCCCGAAGTGGTCTCACATCTCGGACACCATGGGGGGAGCAACAACTGAAGGTACTCCATTGTGTGTTCAGGAAAGCCAAAGGGAAAAAAACAACAACAAGGGGAAGTTCCCTCACCCAAGTCCAACTTCGGAACTTCTCTGGAACCCAACCGAACTCACGCGTTGCCCAAACCCGGTGGATTGATCCACAGCTGTCAAACCCATGTGAGGCGCGGTCGAAACGTGCTTCCCCGCAAAGAGCCCATAGCAAAGCGAGACGGGATCCGTCTGGATGTTGCGAGACTTCTGCGTCCCTCCTTGTCGTCCCTCCCAAATGACCAGTCTGACCGAACCATGTGAGTCATCGCTGGTTTGGATGGGTGGGATTTTGAACCCCATCTTGAAAAAGGGTGCAGGGAAACCACTCCTCCAAACCGGCTCTGTGGTTCGCCCTGGCGCTTCTTGCGGAACCCTCTGCCAGGGTAGTTGTTTTTCTCCGACGTGCTGCGGGCAAAGACCCCTTCGGCTCCTGGGGGAAAAAAAAAGGGCGCCTTTCAAAACATCAGATGTGGGGGGGGTGATCAATGTGGCCGTGGGTCAAAATTCAGGAAACCCCTGGTGAACATCAAAATAAGTGGCAAATGGATGTTCATCCACCCCAAAATGGCTCGCCATAGGTTACGCCCCATGGCCATGTGGCTGTGGCTCAAAAAAGGTGTACCAAAATGGCACCTTGGTCCATTGAACCAAAGACTATAGAACATGTGTAACCCTAGCTCTCAAATTTTGAGCCACAGCCAGGTAGCTTTCCCAGGTGGGGGAAGTCGTCTTCGGTGCTTCGCCTTCATGTCCTCCTGGTCGCTGTCGTCGGCTTCAGTGGAGGCCAGGGACACCGCGCCTCTCATGGAGACCCACTGGAAAGGTCCCTCGAAAGGAGGTGGCTTTCCGTTAGGACTGGATGTCTGCGACATGTCTGTCCCACCATGTCCTTGCGGAACTCCTGATAGCTCCTTGGCTCCCTACTTGACTTGGTGGCGAAATCTGCTCCCCTGCTAAAAGTGACTAACTTTTAGTGGTTTAATACGGAAAACCCATTAGTTGGCAAAAAGTTATTAAAGTCCTAGCATCCAAGCAAAATGCACCAAAGGAAAGGAGGGTGTGTTGCTTAAGGTAAAGGAAGTTGTGTCCTTTGAGGTACCCCCCATGTTGCGGGGTTTCGTGAGAGGGAAAGGAAGCTGTTGTCATGAAAGGAAGTTCAAACATTTTGGGGTTCTTTGAGACAAACCCAAAAGGAGAATCGGAATCGCCCCCCTCATGTTGGGAGTGTTGAACGGGAAGTCAAAAAAGAAACATGGTGCCATCTTGGGGCCTCTCATTTTTGGAGTTCCCCGTTGAACCCAAAAGGACAAGTTCCATGTCGGTGGGGAGGATACCCCGTTTGGGGCGTGAAAAAGCGGGGCTAGGCTCCATGTTCTCAGTATGGGAATGGACCCTCGAACCTATACTATAACATACGACGATCCAGTGAGCTAAAAATTATTATTCCATGGTTTTCCGTTAAGAACAAGCAAGACTTCATGACTGAGGTGTCAGGAAACTCTACAAATAGTTGGTTTACATGCAATCAAAACGCGACTAGATTTAACACACAGCAGGCATGCTTGCTTAAGACACGCATAGCCAGCCAAGCTCCATTCTGATCGGACCCACTCATTCCACTCGGCCCCCTTTCTATCACGCCAACGAACCTCGGGCAAACACCAGAAACCGGACAGCCCAAATGGATTCCATGATGTCCAGTCTTGATGTTGGAAGAAAAAGCTCACTTCCTGAGTGGATTTTCCAAAAGTTTCAACCATTCATCTACAACCAAAATGATCTGCTCAAGGAGAACAAGTCCAGAAACCCAGGGAGTGAGGAAGCTGAACGCGGCGAGGCCCACCTGCATTGGCTTCCAGCCTTAGTGCTCTGAACCGGGGGAAAATGGACGGACAACTCCAAAACGGGGATGTCGGTTTTAGGGGAGCGTTCCCTCTGTAATTAAACAGGTCCAACACCCGAAAAGCAGGATTTCCAAATAAAAAGGACCTTTGTGACTGAAACTGCTGGTTGTAGCCCCGACAAAAGGGGTGAGCTCGAATGCAGAAACCTCCGGGAAAGAAGCCTCTACCACCCTCCGCACCGTTCGCTTTGCATTCGAACATCCCCTTGAGTGGCTCAAAGAACTCCGTAAAATCTCATGGAAAAAGGGGCGCTTCCAAGGGAAACTGGACCTGGGGCATGGAAAAAAGGCGCACCTCCCGTTGCCCAAGGGAATGGGTCCGCCCTCCCTTTGTTCGACTCCAGGCGCGCGACTCTCTGTCGGCATCCTGCCAGATCCGCCATGACATGACGAACGCTGTCGCGACCGCGTGACTTGCAGAACGGTAAAACCTGGCGCTTTGCCATGGGGCCAGTACCCCGCCTAGGCAACCCCCAGCAGTTCTGAGCCTCTGGGTTCCCTTTCCGTGGCCAAATTCCCCCCCCCCCAAAGTGCCACTTGGACAAATAGGTTGTCAAAAATTGGGGAACTCCTTGAATGGCTGGTTCCTTTAGGTTTCCCTTTACCCCGAAACACGGGTAGCCTAACAAATGGGCGGTTTTTCAAGCAACCACACCCGAAGGCATCAGTGCATCAGTTCCCCTTGGCTTTTCTGTTAAAGCAATCAGGAACTCGGGCTCACAGTTGCATCTGACCCAGTGTAAGCGGCTGGTTGGTTTCTACTCACGTCAAATCCTTGCGCTTGCCCAAGGCAGAAAACACACGAATCCAAAAAGCCCAACCCCCGTGAGCCGTGGTCAAATATGCTGCTGCGCGGTACCGGACATGCGGAATGAGTGATCTTTGTGGTTGAGATTTAGCACGTCTCCCACAATATCGTAAACCTCAAATTTACCATGGACTACAACAAATTCTAAGACCGAATCTCCTTATGCCGTCTGGTCTTGAAAGCCAGCAAAGGAACCCTCCCTAGTGTCTTCATCCGGACAAAAGGGCTGATGACCACCGCTATGAATTCCAAGCAAGCATGTCATGACCATTCCAAATGCCATTCCTTTAGGAACCTTTGCCATGGCTATCTGATACATCAGGGGTTGAAACACCCTTTGGGCCTGATGCTTACTCCCCAGCAGGACATACAATCAACCGGGGGTCCTTTGACCAAAAGGAGATTCCTCTACTGATGGATTGTGCGAGAAAGTTCCATGCTACTCTGCAGCTATCGAAAAACCAGAACTAAGAGAATCTCCCCCCGAGCAACCTTGAGTATTCGCTCATATCCCCGAATCGGCGCTCCATTTTGCCCAAAGATTGGAATTCAGAAATTGTGGGTGTGGGTGAGTGATCAAACCTGGCTTTGCAGTCCCCAAAACCATGCAAACAACCCAGAGTGCGGCTGCACCTATTTAACCCACTTCTGGCTGGTGTTAAAAAGTATATCCAACACAAAACCAGTATATTTGGGGGGGCCCTAACAAGAAAGCACGTTTTAAAGAGTATATCAGAAGGAAAACCAGTATATTTGAGGGGGCCCCTAAAACAATTGGCACACCCATTCGGACCAAAGGGGGAGGGGGGAGGGTGCTTTGGCACCTCTGTCGAAGCAGGCGAGCCGCCTTCAAGGATGGGCCTCGGAGTCCCAGTGAAGACCACAGTGTGACTCTGTGATGAAACCATGGTGCGCACTCCAGGGCGTAGTGTATAAATATATATGTATGTATATATATATATATATATATGTATACACAGGGCTGTGGGTCAAAACCCTGTACCCCTCGTGAACATCAAGATAGGTGGCAAATGGATGTTCATTCACCCCAAAATGGAGCCATAGGTTGTGCCCCATGGCCATATAAACAAACAAGTCAATGAAATAACCAAGCAAATAAATACACTCTGACCTGCTGATGCAGCTGCTACCCGGTAAAAGAACGATAGCCTCTTCCCCTGCAACTCAATTGAAAGAAGCTTGGTTGCTGCTGACCCCTCTGCAAACTGTTTAACTTTTTGTGGATTTCATGGAAAAGCTGGATTTCAACCAACAAGTTAAAGTCTAAAGATCCAAGCCAACATGATTAGAGTCAGGCCAGTTATGGAATGTATATCGTATTGGTTGCTTCACTTTGAGTCACTGGAACAATGTAAAATGTATCCTAAGTCTACCCCAGCCAATAGCAGTCAAGGAAGGACCGTGGCTCTTAAAGCAACCTTGGTGCAGCGGCTCGCAGGTCCTATGGCCAATTTGGTTTGCCCGGTGGTTCGGGCGGCCCAAGGCGGCGGCTTTTCCCCTCACACGAATCCTCGAAGCCAAGGAAGGCACTGATATCACAAGCTGGGGTTGATCCCCTTCTAGGTCCTCCAGTAGAGAGGTTGAAATTTGGAACCCTCCCATCCAAAAAAGGGGAGAGAAGGGCACTACCGAGGGACCTAGCCTTTGTCGAAGGTGCCCTTGGGTTTCTTTCAAAGGGAGTGAAGGGAAGGCAGCAACATGGGGCTACCGTGAAGGTCATTGGGAAACACTGCAAGAGTCTAACCAGCGAAAAAACAGCGGGGCGGCTTTTGTCCGATCACCAAAGGGAAGCTCACAATTTAAACTCGGCTACCCTGCTAAAAGTTCAACTTTTAGTGGCTTAAATGAAAGCTCAACCACTAAACACTAAAAAGCTAAAAAGCTAAGGAACCGGATGGCTGGGCTTGCACCAAGTAAATAGCAACCAAAACGCCGCCCTTAGGGAAAATTTTCGCTGGAGTGTGCCGCCTGTTTGGCAGACCGTTTGCCCCATCGATGCTTTAAGGCTCCGGCTCCAATCGAGATGGAACCTGTCGTAAGTGCCCCAGAAAGAATTTGGTCGAGACATGGGCTCGTCTGTTTTTTGGGAGTTGGTACGCGTTTGGGTTTGTTTCTAAACGGCTGTTGAAAACCAGTATTTTGGGGGGTCGTCCCCTAAAAGTGAGAGCCCCTGAAAGTGGTCTAGGAAGGATATCCTGCAAATGGTTTCGGGAACCCACAAAAATTATGGGGGGGGGAGGTCAGGGAGAGTGCTCTAAACACGGGCTTTTTGGGAGTTCCATGTCTATCGCTTTAGTACGCGCACCAGACATGTACCCCCATGCGAGGCAAAACAAAATATGAGTCAAAGTCTTGCAACCTCCTGAGCAAGCCCAGCTTGCAAACCCAACCCACCCCATCACTCCATCTGGCCAGTCCACATAAACGGCGAGAGTGGGAAAGACCACCATCCCGATTCGCTCCTCCAACATCCCTTCTACGAAAGGGGCCTCAGTTGATTTGTTTGAATGGGCTCGTGGGGCGCCAAATTCAATCATGGTCATGGATGAATAACTTGTGTGTGTGTGCAATCATTTGGTGGCTCAAAATAA